GATATTGCTGAATTATCATACTCATGGCTAAAGCGATAAAAGGAACATGATAAAACTGAAAAAAAACAAAAGTAAAATCTTCCCTCGCAAAAGCAATTAAGTCCAACCGAAGTTCGCTTCATTTTTCAAATCTCTCCGAAATTTTATCTTAACTTGAAGCGAAATGTTTCAAAAGATAAAACGCAATTTGCGAAGGCATTACGAAAATTACGGATTTTGAATGGCGAGCAGGCACAAAAATAGAGAAATGCAGACAGAAAGGGTATGCACATAAAAACATAATGTGATAAACTGAAATCACGTACCGGCTTGAACTCCAATGGAGAGAATAATGGCAGCAATTAACCACAGCTTCATTTTGAAGGGCTGTAAGTTTCCTTGAGGGTCGCAAACTGCAAAATGGAGGCGTATCCCCAGCAGACTCGAAGAAACAGCAGTACGAAGAGCTGTGGAAGCAGGTGCACTTGTTTGAACTGGGGCCAGTGTGTTGCTCTTGTTTTAAAAGTATCTGAAATTCGACTGTTTGTGACGCAAAATCATGCCATATTGCTGTCATTCAGTATCAGTAACTAGGCAACTTTGAACAATTGTTTCTCTCCATGTTAAAATCACGCTATTTTGCCTTCAACCACTAAGCAAAAATGATAAAATCACGCTACATTGCTGTCAATCACCACGCAGCAATGGAACAGTTGTTCCTCAGCACAATAAAATCACGCTATCCTGCTTTCAATCACTGGGTAACAATTAACCCTTTAACTCCCAAGACCTCATTAGTAATTCTCCTTACTGTCTGCCATAAAATACTTACGATTTCAATTTGGAGAATTTGGTATTAGATCAACTTGTAGTCCCTTAATTGAGTTTTCTTCTTTATTCTCCTCACTTATCTGCTTGATTCTGTGTTGATATTGTAAGGAGAAATTCTGTCTTGGTCACTCATGGGAGTTAAAGGGTTAACAGTCTTTCCTTACCAGGGTAGACTCACGCTATAATGCTGTCAATCATTTAGCAACAATGAACAATTGCTCCTCAGCATATTTACCTTTTCTGTTTTCACAACGTTGGTTGCCCCGCTTAACATTCTTGAGGGTATTTTGGTGACAAAAGTCGTTAAGCGACTTAAAATGATTGGTTATTTCACGAGTACAATTATAGCTCGTTATAGTAATGTGAAACACGCGAATAACTCTATTTAAGTGACATGGCGGGAGATAAAAACATTGTTTTTTATAGGGCTAAGTCCTTTGCATTCACAAGGTAGAAAGGTAGGAAATTCACCATACTTGGATCGTTTGAAGGAGGAAAACTTGCCAGATGAAACGCCGGCCGGTTGAGAAAGGTAACCATCTTGTTTAGTGGAGACAAAAGAGGCACAAGTATTCTGGTTTCAGTTGACAGCCACATCAGATGAATGACCACAAGCTCCCTCCCGTTGGGCGGAAATTCATTAAAGTCTCGCCCAAGGTACCTGATTTGGACATAGTATAAATTTGGACCGGACTATCAGACCCCTGGACTATTGGACTGTTTTTGGACCATTTTTTGGACCAGTTTTTGGACCCTTTTTTTGATCAGTTCTTGGACAAATTTCTTGGCCATTTTTTTTGGACCATTTTATCGGGGGGAGGTAGACCATTAGTACTTAGGGAGGGGTGGGATGCAGTCTATCAGTACTCAGGGATGGGTACGAGGTAGGCTTGAGTCGATTGTGCCTGCATAATTTTGAGCATAATTTGGCAAAATGAGCATAATTTTAAACTTTTTTTTAAAGAAAAGCACTGCTGGCATAATATGCTTTTTTACTTCCACGATGTGAACAATTTTCGTAATTTTGTATTGAATATACTTCTCTTGACTGAATCATGTTTCTGGAATGTTTCTTGCAAATAATGGATTGCGCCTACAATGGATTCACTGCGGTCGTTGTAACGTTTCTTGGTTTCACGCCCTACTCGTACGACTCGCTGGCGAGTTGACTGAGATCCAAGATAAAAGATGGCGTCCTCCTCGTCGAACGGATCCTTGTCGAACACTTTTAGTTCTTCAAGTAATGTCGTGCAAAGAGCCCCTTATTTTCGATCTACTCTTCATGAAATCTGCGGAACCAAGAGCATTTAAGCTGCTGTAATACCCCTTCGAACGATTTTTCCTTCGTCCGTCCGCCATATTGACCGAAATTTACGCGCCTGCCGTTCAAGCCGCTGACTGTATACGATTTCTGGTCATGAATACACAGAGCAAGGACGTTGCCAGTTGAGGAGAGAGCATACCGTTTACAGGTGGTAGAGGAGTTTCCTAAAGCTGGAATCCCTTTAAGAAAGATAGACAAACTCCGACCCATCCTTAAAAAGTAAGGCTATCGTCTTAGTCATAATTCTAACACGGAGGAGTACATTCCAATGATATACAAGCAAGAGATACAGAGGATTAAAGCGGAAATTCGCCGAGAACCATCTGATGGCAGTGGCGGGGAATTTACAAGGGATCTTTCCATTTTCTTTGATAAAAAGCACGAGACAGGGAGGCGATCGTGATCGTGGTCCGTTTTGTCAACGATAATTGGTGTATTGTGCAACGACTGATCAGAATTGATGTTTGTGTCAAATCAGTAAAGGGTGACGAGTTTGCCCAAGTTCTTAACGAATGTTTATCTGTCGACTATGGTGTGAGAGCAGATTCATTGATAGCGGCCATGAGAGAGACGGCGCCAGCGTAAATCAAGCAGCCTTAAATCGCATCCATTTCATATTCCCTAAGACATTCAATGTGGTTTGTTTTTCTTATAATCTGGATAATGCCGACAATCACTTTGTTATTCCGAACTGAATGTGGCAGGAACAGACCGGACTTAAATCGAAGAGTCACTCGTCTCGACTCGTTGGTGGTCGAAATGGGAAGTCTATAAACAACTCATGGAGCAGTTTGGTGAGTTACAAGAATTCGTGGCTAATGCTGAAAGAGAAAACGTTGCTTCCCAAATTTCACGTCAACTGGTCGACTTCCTGTCTGATCCAGATAAAGTTCTGAGCCCTAAGCTTGAGCTAGCAGCCATCGTTGATGTGGGTGAACCGCTCGTCAAAGCCACTTACGTTTTAGAGGGAGATGGCCCACTAGTCTTCTAGTGCTTCGAGAGATTACAAACGGTTGCGAATGCATGTCAGGTGCCACATTTCCGAAATTTCCACACAATAACTGTCGCTATAGCGGCTAGAGATCCTCAAAAAATGTCGCAGCACTGGAACAGGAAGCCAAAAGGAGTGTCGAGCCTGGAATTCAGTGGTTTTTGCGAAAGTTCAATGTAGATTTGTACAATAAGTTGAGTGCATTCAAGGCTGCTAGAATAATGTGCCTGGAAGCTGCGCAATGGCTGCGACCTACGCCAGCAACTGCACAAGGCTTACGATTATTTCCGTTTTTGGACCGTAACCATTTAATAAATGCCTTAATCACGGAACTGCCTAACTATGTTGCTGCAGCCCATAACGTCACAATGGTCTGCGAAGAAGACAAAGTGAAGTGGTGGCGACAGCACTCAGATCGATTGCCACATTGGTCGTCTGCAGTCGTGAAGGTCCTCCTAGTACAACCCTCATCTGCTGTTGCAGAAAGAGTATTCTCAAAAATTAACTCCTCTTTCAACGACTCGCAAGACCATGCTCCAGTAGTATTTGTTCAGGCTTGTGTTATGCTTCAGTACAATAAATGCTGATAAACGTATTACTCCTTACTTTGACTTAAGAAGCTCCATTGATTGAAAAATGATGAGTGTGTTTATCAATTCTGAGGAAAAAATGCAGGGGAAACTTGTAACGACACATTGTTTGATAATTGGTTTATTAAAATGATGGGCTGCAGTCATCAGATAAGTAATCAGTTGCTGTTTGTTTGTGTTTAATTTAGAGAAACGAGCATAACTCGAGCATAAATTTCAGAACTTTTGAGCAGTGTGAGGAGCATAATATGCCAGTTTTACGGGCACAATCGACTCAAGCCTAGTAAGAGGCCAACTGTTGTTACTGGGGGAGGGGTGAAAGACGAACTGTTAGTACGCAAGGAGGTTGGGAGGTAGTTTTATTAGTAAATGCTATTAATTAATGGAGTTTTAATGGATCATAAAAATTATTTTGTACAAAGAAATCTTCTCTCTTTTCAGATACACAGTTTTCCAGCTTAAAGTGCCATTTCCCCACAGCCTACGCACTTTAACTTTATTTGTATAGTTCGGTTTTGGCATAATATTTTGATCTGGCCTGCAGTTAGCTGACACTTATCAACTTTGACTGTTTCAGAAATTAGAAAGAGATTTCGTGTTCTCTCGAGTCATTGCGAAATATAGAAATCTTTTGGCCATTGTCTCTAAGAGGGCTTACTATAATTTGCGAAACGAAAGGGAATGAAAAAATGTAATTTGCGAGATTAAGCTATGATCACACAATACTTAGGTAATTCCTTTAAGTATTGATTGTAGTTGACCGCTTCGATACAAGAACGCCCTAAGGAATAGGAAAAGGAATGAAGAAAAAAAAGATCCTAGTATTGGCTTTGCGTTTATCGCATGCGCGTGTATCAACTCGGGAATCGAGTTTTCAACTCTAGCTTGAAAAGAAACATTCTATAACTCGAAATCATGTTATTACCTATAAAAATTGCAATCGATATCATTTTATTACCTATACCAAAGACTTGAGGTCAATTCGACCTCTATTATGTAGTCTCAGCTGACTCCAGGGTAGAAATCCGACTGGAAAGGGAAAATCAGTTCCCCGACTTGCAAATGTGTTACAGCTTACTCCACTGATCAAATGCGGGCAAAGGAGCCTTCAGGGTGGTCTCAAGAGTTTTATTTTTTGCTCTTTTGAGGCTAATAAGTAGCCCATGTCAACAGAGCTTTTGTTAGCCGTAAACCGTTAACTGTTAGTCGTAAAAGCCATCTCCCCGTTGACGGCCCCGTGTTCAGTATAGACAAACGCAGAGAACCATACAGCAAAGGTGAAAAAAGGCATAATTATATTTTCAGCGCTGTATGATTTAAAGGAATTATTAACGCTCCTATACTTCTATAACTGCCACACACTAAACGAAAAAAAAATTGCTTTATGCTCTTTAGCAGACCAACAAGTAAATCTACTCAACTACATATCCTAGCTATTCAAAGTAATTGTCTACATAAACATCATTGTCTCTAGGCTTAGTGTGACATTCATTACATTACAAAAGTGTTATACTTAGTTACAGCACTGCTCATTAGCCGTACGTGACCTCAAATTAAGCTTTGAAAAGAGAGGCCAGGGCGCATGACAGCAACAGAACGCCGCTGGTGTGGGTTGCTGTGCCAGCATTGCCAGCATTGCAGTCGTTACTGTTGCAGCAATAGATGTCACACTCGTTGGCGTCTTTACAAAGAGGTTTGGTTTCCGTGTCACAGCCAGCATAGGTACTGCAACCTCTTTCGAATGATTCCGTTGAACCAGATTTCAAGTAAATCTTAAAACATGCATCGGTAGCCGGAGCCTTGCAGGAGATGCTTTTTCCTTTACAGTCATCCCATGACTTCTTACTGGCGCAGGACAAACACTTCAAGCTCAACACTGAATAAAGAAAACAAAAAAACAGTGAGAAATGCATTAATAAAACTTAACCATTCATTTAACATTCATTCTATGTTGCTGTACATCTGTTCTGTAAAATATCACAAACGTCGTCAAAATGTGATAAGAATGAAACAGTGGCGCACGAGACTCAGCCGAGTGTGTTGTTATACGAAAGCTTTAAGTTTGAAAACCAATGCCTTGTCCGCACGGGCGGGCAAACACTGGGATTAAAGGCATAAATTTATCCCGATATTTTTTTCTCTGTATACTACTGTAACACCTCCACATGCTTCTTCTTGAGGTGTGTCTCTTGACTTTTAAAAAAGTCTCAATCAGATCCTTGACAAAATGCTACCTATGGTGTGCTTAGACCACGACACTGGGAGGTACTTTCCCTTCTTTTTGCGAAAAGTGCGTGGATTCTTTAACGTCCCCCGCTAACTAGTACAGAGAAGATGAAGGAGACGGGACCTACTGTTTATTGTCCTTATCCAAGAATACTAGAATGTCTATGGTCATTTACGAATGTCATAGTATAGGCAACACATTCTCCTCAGTTATTTTAGACCCTGAGAGTTTTCCTTGACTTACTGCACGACTGAGGATAATTTGCTGAAAAACTATGCTCCATAAGGCAAATTGAACTCATTTCAATTATCAGGCTAGTTATAGCTTTTGCGAGAAATGATTGAAAAGATTAGCATTATTTTTTCAGTTGATTTTTTTCAGTTTGTATTCTTGGAATGACGCTTGTAGGCAACGCGTTTTAGAATTATTCAGCTTCGGTGAAGATTTTTCAAGTCGCGACAAACGTTTATCCAAAGAAGCAGCCAGAAGTGTCACTCGAAGGCGCGATCAGGTGACCACAGTGTACCGGTGCTGAAAGCTGTCTGCTTACGAAGCGAGAACCAAACCATCCGCTCTTGTTAAGTGAAAGTGATGACAGAGAGCTTGTTTCCTAAATAACATTTTAAAAGCTAATGCGGATAGGCCCCGATGCGCTTCAACCTTGGTCAGGTGACACAAGCAGCAAAGGATTATTTCTTGAAGCGGTGGTTGCACCTAGAGATTTTTAAGCGATACAATAGTATGTTTAATCTTGAAAAATAATGCGTGTTTGTTTAATTACTGTGAGTTACTGTTTTGAGCGACCCACGAAATCAAAATGAAAATAAAATGTAGGTTTCAACCATGTCCGCCGGCGGCATCTCCGGAAGGCGCCGACTGATGTTACTGAATTATCATACTCATGGCTGACACGATAAAAAGAAACATGATAAAACTGAAAAAAAACAAATGTAAAATCTTCCCTCGCAAAAGCAATTTACTCCGACCGAAGTTCGCTTCATTTTTCAAATCTCTCCGAGTTTTTCCCTAAACTTGAAGTGAAATGTTTCAAAAGATATAATTCAATTTGCCCAAGGCATTACGAAAATTACGGATTGTGAATGGCAAGTAGGCGCAAAAATAGAGAAATGCAGACAGAAAGGGTACGCACATAAAAACATAATGTGATAAACTGAAATCACGTACCGACTTGAACTCCAAAAGAGAGAGTAATGGCAGCAATTAACCACAGCTTCATTTTGAAGGGCTCTAAATTTCCTTGGGGGTCACAAACTGCAAAATGGAGGCGTATCCCCAGCAGACTCGAAGAAACAGCAGTACGAAGAGCTGTGGAAGCAGGTGCACTTGTTTGAACTGAGGCCAGTGTGTTGCTCTTGTTTTAGAAGTATCTGAAAGTCGATTGTTTATGACGCAAAATCATGCCATATTGCTGTCATTCAGTATCAGTAACTAGGCAACTTTGAACAGTTGTCTCTCTCTATGTTAAAATCACACTATTTTGCGGTCAATCACTAGACAACAATGATAAAACACGCAATATTGCTGTCAATCATCAGGCGACAATGGAACAGTTGTTCCGATCACCACAATAAAATCACGTTATCTTGCTGCCAATCACTGGGCAACAATTAACAGTCGTTCCTCACCAAGGCATTGGACCCTTGGTTTATTGGACTCTTTTTGGACCATTTTTTGAAACATTTTTACTGGATCAGTTTTTGCACCAATTTTTTGGGTACTATATTATCAGGGGGAGGTTGTCCATTAGTACTTAGGGAGGGGTTGGGATGCAGTCTATTAGTACTCAGGGAGGGTTGAGAGGCCAACTGTTGTTACTGGGGGAGGGGTGGAAGACGAATTATTAGTACGCAGGGAGGGGTGGGAGGCGGTTTTATTAGTAAATGCTACTAATTAATGGAGTTTTAATGGATCATATCTATTATTTTGTACAAAGCAATCTTCTCTCTTTTCAGACACACAGTTTTCCAGCTTTAAGTGCCATTTTACCACATTCTATACACTTTAACTTTTATAATTTGTATAGTTCGGTGTTTTCTTTTGCTTAATATTTTGATCCGGCCTGCAGTTAGCTGACTCTTAACAACTTTGACTGTTTCAGAAATAAGAAAGAGATTTCGTGTTCCCTCGAGTCATTGCGAAATATATAAATCTTCTCGTCATTGTCTCTGAGAGGGCTTAATATAATTTGTGAAACGAAACGGAATGAAAAAATGTAATTTGCGAGATTAACTCAAATCGGTAATTTGCGAAAAGGGAATTCCTAATTTGTGAATTTTCGAAAAGGGTAATACTGTAATTTGCACTTGTGTGGATTTAATGAATCAATACATCGGCTATGTGAAAGAAAAATTGCGTCATTAGGCCATAAAACGCAAACCTGTTATTTGAAAAATGATCCAGCGCTGAAGTTGTGCTGTTCTAATAGTCAATTTACGAAGTGCAATGCGTGACATGACACTCAAATTTAAGCGTGACTTGAGTGTTTCTAATAGGAGAACGGGAGTACGGAGGAAACGGGAGAACGGGTGTACGGGGGAATGGGTGTACGGGGGAACGGGTGAACAGGGGAACGGGTGAACAGGGGAACGGGAGTACGGGGGAGGGGGGAACGGGGAATGGGGAACGGGGAATGGGGAACGGGGGGGGAATGGGGGGAAGGGGAATGGGGAATGGGGAACGGGGAATGGGGAACGGGGAACGGGGAACGGGGAATGGGAGAACGGGGAACGGGGAATGGGAGAACGGGGAACGGGGGAACGGGGAACGGGGAACGGGGGAATGGGGAACGGGGAATGGCAGAACGGGGGAAACGGGGAATGGGGGGAACGGGGAACGGGGAATGGGGAATGGGGAACGGGGGAATGGGGAACGGGGAATGGGGAACGGGGAATGGGGAACGGGGAATGGGGGACAGGGAATGGGGAACGGGGAATGGGGAACGGGGAATGGGGGGGGAATGGGGAATGGGGGAACGGGGAACGGGGAATGGGGAACGGGGAATGGGGAACGGGAGTACGGGGGAACCAGGGTACGGGGGAACGGGATTACGGGACAACGGGAGAATGGGAGAATGGGGAACGGGGAAGGGAGAACGGGAAAGGGAAAACGGGGAAGGGTGAACCGGGAAGGGGGAACCGGGAAGGGGGAACCGGGAAGGGGGAACCGGGAAGGGGGAACCGGGAAGGGGGAACCGGGAAGGGGGAACCGGGAAGGGGGAACCGGGAAGGGGGAACCGGGAAGGGGAGAGCGGGGATGGGAGAACAGGGAATGGATGAACGGGGAATGGGAGAACGGTGAATGGGGAACGTGGGATGGAAAATCGAGAATGGGGAATGGGGAATGGGGAATCTTTAAAATGAGGAATCTTTCAAAGCGGGAATCTTTAAAAGGGGGAATCTCTAAAACGGAGAATCTTTTAAAGCGTGGAATGAACTTCATTCTACGCTTTAAAAATCGACCAAATGTATGAGCGGTCTGTGGAAAAGTGGCTCTTTTTTTTCTATTTTACGATACTGAATCTTTAAAATTCAGGTCTGTTGACACAAGTAAAACTACGCGACATTGGAAATCCCGCCTCAAGGTTGAAGTTTGCTCGACGCAACAACTCTGTTTTTAGCGGATGGCAGTGGCACTCGACATTTATGGGGGGATCCCTAAAGCTTTTATTTTGAATTATTTAATTATTAAACAAACTGATCAAATTTTGAGCATAATTTTCGGCATGATGCCATGTATTCAGGGGTGACACTTAAAAGCATTACTTATGATTTAAAGAGTTATGATACTAAAATTTTCAAGTGAGATAATTTATTTGACCCTATTGTTAAGACGATATATGTTACAAATACTCGCATCTTGTTTCGAGTCCGGTTTCGTCACCTCAGCCGCTATTCTTAAGGATGTCCTACAACTCTCCCTCAAGAGAATAAGTCATTTTTACACACACACACATGCGTCCACATACGATATATGAAAGTTTGAAGATTTACGAATCCCTTTTGTGTTGAATTATAATCCCGGTAAGGAGGAGTGTAAAGTACTAATACATGAACATTGCGCCTTGTGTGCTACTCATTTCCATCTTGATCATTTTGTAGCTGAGTTTTTTGTCGCAGCAAGTTTCATTTCGTTATTGGATCAACGTTCAGTAGAAGCATTTATTCTGTAATAAACACACACGGATTGGGGTAAACCTTGCCTCTGAAAAAGTTGAGAGCTCTAACTTTCAAATTTAGTTTAAGAGGAATCATTCCGCGTTTGTTGAGATTAGATACAACCATAAGTTTAAAGGAACTAAGGAGCTCCACTTATGATTGTCAAGTTTACGTTATTTTTACCTATGGCTAAGTCACAATTATTTTAGAGAGGCATATCAAATGATGCTTATGAGAAACGTGGCCTCTTCTGTGGTGCAAAAATTTTCTTTGAGTGGAAGACATGGAAGCAGCCTCTTCCAATTGCCAACTTCATCTCAAATCCAGCTCGCAGGGGGTGCTTATTAAATAGGGGGGGGACTTATAAGAGAGGGGATGCTATTAGAGAGAGGGAGTGCTTATTAGAGAGAGGGGATGCCTATTAGAGAGAGGGGGTGCTTATTAGAGAGAGGGGATGCCTATTAGAGAGAGGGGGTGCTTATTAGAGAGAGGGGATGCCTATTAGAGAGAGGGGGTGCTTATTAGAGAGGAGGTGCTAATTATAGAGAAGGGTGCTTCTTAAATAGGGGCAGAACTTAAAAGAAAGGGGCTGCTTATGAGAGAAGGGGCGCTTATAAGAGAGGAGGCGCTTATTAGAGAGGGGGGCTTATTAGAGAAGGGGGTGCCTATTCGAGAGGGGATGCTTATAAGAAAGGGGGTGCTTAATAGAGAGAGGGGGTGCTTAATGGAGAGAGGGGGTGTTTATTAGAGAGAGGGGGTGCTTATTAGAGAGAGGGGGTGCTTAATAGAGAGAGAGGGTACTTAATGGAGAGAGGGGGTGCTTATTAGAGAGAGGGGGTGCTTATTAGAGAGAGGGGGTGCTTAATAGAGAGAGAGGGTACTTAATAGAGAGAGGGGGTGCTTAATAGAGAGAGGGGGTGCTTAATAGAGAGAGGGGGTGCTCATTAGAGAGAAGGAGTGCTTAATAGAGAGAGGGGGTGCTTAATAGAGAGAGGGGGTGCTTATAAGAGAGAGAGGGGGTGCTTATAAGAGAGAGGGGGTGCTTAATAGAGAGAGGGGATGCTTAATAGAGAGAGGGTGTGATTAATAGAGAGGGGGGGTGCTTGATAGAGAGAGGGGGTTTTTATTAAAGAGGGGGTTCTTATTAGAGAGGCCCAGACCGGCTGTGACATTTTCATGCGCAACAACGACAAAAGGACAAAAGTAGACAGAAATACACGATTATATTTTTGGTGCTGCATCAAATTAAAAAAAAAAACACAAACAGTTCTATTCTATATGTGAATAATAAGCATCCTGGAAAAAAAAAACTAAAATTAATGGATAATATCATTGCCTCACAACTACCATGTTCATTGTTACCTGCAGAAATAAATCAGCTTAACTGCATGAAATTACGAAAAACAGTTTTCGGTATGACAAGAGAATATAAACTGCTATAGAATCATTATTGTCCCAAAGCTAAGTGTTCTCCCCAAAATGCAATGTGATTAACATCTTAGAAAAAGGTATAAATAAGTTGCAACACGGCTCATTAGCCGTACATGACCTCACATCAGGCTTTGAAAAAGATCATCAGATAGGTCAGGGCGCATGACAAAAACAGAATACCGCTGATGCGGGTTGCTGTGCCAGCATTGCAGTCGTCACCTTTGCAGCAGTCGATTTTACACTCAGAGGATCCACTGGCGGCTTTACAGGTAGGGTTGGTTTTCTCATCACAGTAAGCATCGGATCCGCACATTTTAATGAATGACTCGGTTGAGCCAACTTTGAAGTAGAGTTTAAGACATTGATCGGCCAGCGGAGCTATGCAGGTCTCGCTTTTTCCTTCGCATTTATCCCATGACTCGGAACTGGTGCAGGTCATGCACTTTAGGCCCAATACTAGAAAAATTGGGAAACTCACCAATGAAAACTAAATTATTAAAACATTTTGCTTTAAGTTGCAGCAAGTGAGGATAAATTGAGCTCTATTAATCTTCTCTTGCACTGCCTCATTGGGAAACTTATGTAACCCGTAATGATTATGGATTAGTAAATTGCAATCGATCTAGCATAGGAATGGATAATTTCGTCTCGGCGTAACAAAATCCAGAGTATGATTAATTTAACCTACAAATATCGAATAGTGGCTTCACGGGCTCATATTTCTGATTTGTAGTAACTCATTTTGTTCTATCAAATGGTTTCAATTTTATTTCCATATTTTCCCATGGCATTCGGACCGAAGTGAGTTAGCCCGCTGGATTTCCTTGAGAGAACTAGTGCGATGTTTTGTTGGATGCGATTAATGATTGGTCAATACTTAAAAAGCATGAATGGAACCAATTTCTCTGTCCTTTTCGAATAATTGTTTTCGATGCTTTCCGGCGGAGTTGCACGGAAACTGCATCAGAGCGAAAATCGGACAGTTAGCGCTCGCTTTCCTACGAAAAAGATCAGAGTTCATGTTTTATTTGGTGTAAATCTCTTTAAAAGTTATAATATAGAGGAAAAATGAAGAAAAAATAACTGCTAACAATATTTCAAATTTTAGGCACACATTATGCGAAAGCTTTAATTTTGAAACCTCAACGCCGGCATTTGTTTGTCTTCTGTCTGATGAAGGATTACAAAGTCTTAATTCAAGTGAGAGCAACCTTGTTCAAGTTCTTGACCGTAGCTTCCGTGCAAAGATGAAGTTAAAGCTTGATATTTTTAAGCTATTCACAGAGAAGATATTTCATTTTGACGGCTTTTCAAAAGGTTATGCAAATCTTTGTAAATCCGTCTCGGCCTTCTTGCTAAAGAATAACTTTTATCGTGCATGTTTAACACCTTTTGCCAAGGTGTCGGCCTTGTTCTTGAAATGAAATTGCGTGTTGGCTTCAACTCTTTGCTCAAAATTCTCTGAAACGAACGAACTGATCTGATTTTAAAACTCGTGATGATTCGACAAAGGTGAAAATGCCAAATTGACAAAATTACTCTGAAAAAAAATGAAAAATATAATAAAAACACAAATCGCCTAAACCGAAATTCACTTAACTATATTTAAGCTAAAAATTGCACGAGTCGAAGTGGTTACACGCAAATGCGATGTAGGAGATTTAGGGCAAAAAATGAATTGGTCCAAAAGTGGACGAGTTTCGAGACGAGCGAAAGGATTCCACGTTTGTAAGTTTGCTCTGCAGTAAACAGATACGGTTTGCGCAGAGCGAAATTATTTTATCAGCTAAAATTGACAAGTGAGATGTACAAAAAGGGGGAAACAGAAATACGAGGAAAATTTTAACGGTTGAAAATTGTCAAACATTTACCTGAAGAAGCGAAATGTGTCTGCAATTTCAAGTTTGCTTCGAACGGAGCGGATTTAATTTGCGAATAACGTCGTTGCAGGCACAAAAGGTGCGCCTGTAAAAAGTATACCGAGGTAAATTACTTACCGGATGGAAGCCCAATAGAAATAATTATGGCGGCAACCAACCACAGCTTCATCTTGAAGAGCTTGATTTTTGCTTGCGAGTCACAAACAGCAGGATGGAGGTGTTATCACAACAGTATCGAAGAGCAGACTGTATTTGGGGCGATGGAAGCGAGCGCGCTTGTCGTGTAACTGCTGAACACACCTTTCACATCGTGACGTAAAAGCACGCCACTTTCCAGGTAATCAGTAACTCGACAACAATTAACACATTTTCGTTACCTTGACTTTATTTATTACTTTGTGACGATGGTGTTTCCAGATTTGCATTTTTTTAAATTATACCCTTGTGGATATTTACCTCTCCGGGCCGATATACTAAGTTCTGATAATCACTCTTTAATCCTGGTCTATAGGCCATTGAATTTTTTTCTGGTGTGAATTACTCTTAGGAAGAAAGGTTGATTCGATTCGTTTCGTCGAAAACATAGAACATCTGGTTTAGGTTCGGAATAAATTAAGATTCACTCAAACTAAGTATTCACATAGCGAAAAACACTACCATTAATTAGACAAATGTTTAAAAGGAAAATGACAATGCATCACTGATGGGACTGAGTTTTCAGCTGATAAAGAACCACCTGGTTGTGTTTTCTGCTATGTGCGGTACCTTTTTAACTCGTGAATTGCGCGCATGCGCAAGAGCGAGTTATAGATACGATGTGGGGAATAGCATTCGCTCGCTCGATTGGTCGATTCCTGTAAACTTTTTTTAGATTTTAGGCTTTTGAGTGCATTTGATAGTTTTTGGCGAGCAATAAACAGACGAAATGGCGACCTTTGTTGCTAAGAATAGTGGTGGGGTGAAAAAGAAGCCAATGATAATCTTAAAAGAGTTTTTTTTTTTCGTTTTAGTTTCAACTAGCGGCGCCAGCGACTGGCAGGCATGCAAGGATTCACACTGAAATAACAGAACAACCTTCGTTTTTCATAAAATTGTAATTTACAATCCTTGAACTTGAAAACAATCCGAAGATTCATTGAAAATATCACTTACTGCGAAGCGCTCGGAGTTTACAGATGTTCAAAAGCTTTTTCTGTTATGACGTGAGATTGATGACAAAATTGATCATTACGATTCATCGCGTGTGTTTTTCCTGTGTGAAGCAACAAAAGATGCCGGCGACTGACGAAATAACAAGTTAACACGAAAATCAAATAACACCTAAACAAACAATTTTAGCTACCGATTTTCAGTGGATTTTTAAAGAATAATTTCTTTTAAGTTTCAAGACAATTTGAAGATTCAACATACATACAACGTACTAAAATGCGAAAGTTACACACCACAAAATTGATAAATAGGCCTGAAATGAAATTCTATCTTGTTATTGATTATACGTTGCCTAGCACGTGACTTAAATCTACCCAGGCGGAGATCCAAAATGACGGTGGCTGGCTTGGGTTAGTTATACCACTCAAACCTCGTTCCCGTTTGTCTCATTCGATAAAGAGGGAATCGTTAATGTTTTCATTAAGACAGTATTGCCTTGATTTTCTAATATTTACAACGAAAGACAGTAAATTTCACTTTTCACCCACATTTACTTCCAACCTTTTCTTTTGAAACAAAAATGATAGACGTTTAAAACACATGACATCATCCACCTTGTCAAATGTAATAGCATGATCATTTCAATTGTAATACCTTCTTATCCCAACGTTACTTTGTTTCTTTGCTACATTAGCGAACACTGAACGACTGCTCGTACTCTAGATATGGCAATCAACCACAAAATTCCCTAAACCAGATAACATTAAACATAATCTAAAAAATCATGTGTCAATTCACGAGTTTGCTCACAGAGCACTTTGACTTTTTCGAATTCTCTGTCACACTCAGATGATTCAGTGGCGGCTTTACAAATACGGTTGTTGTCCTTGCTGCAAAAGCCTCATTAGCACAACCTTTGCTGTACTTTTCAACTCCACTGCTTTTAGTGTACATCCTATAATATTTATTTGTCAGCAGCCACAGCAGAACAGGACTGGCTTTCTGCTTCGCAATCGCCCCACGACTTTACACAACTGTAAATCGTGCAATTCAAACCCAACACAGAGAGAGAAAAAAATGAAAGTACGTTGAAATACGGCCTGGTCTTTACCAAAGGTGACAGAAAAAAGTTGAATTTATTATCAGCTGGATGGCGTTACTGCGTTTGACGAAAAATAGATACATATCTAATCTAAAAAACATTGTTAGGGTTTCCTTATATTGGTGTTGGAAAATAAATGGAAATAATATATTACCACAAGCCATTCAGTCAAAAAATATATATTTTAAGCAAGTTGATCATTTCCTATTCCTTTTGGCGGTCTTATCTTACAAGAAGAATTTCGGTCACCTTTCCTTACTGTGGTCGTGAATTTGACATGGAGCAGATGTTTCTACGTAAACTACAGTTTGTGGTTAAGTATTGGAATATTTCCATTATGTTGCGGAAAGCTGTTACAATTACGAAGAAAATGACTTTAGCTCATAAAAATTGAATTGTACAGAAATTTCCTGGAAATAACCCTTCTCATATTTTAAAGCCCTTTGCTATTCTCGTTTTTAGGTTAACTCAATACTGAATTCCTGATCGAGGAAATATTTCTCAAATTTTAATTTCGACACCTCTCCCTTTAAAGGTGACAACAATAAGTACTGTTCATCCTCCGCACTGAATTTATAATCAGGTAACTCAGACGAATAGCACTTAGCTCTTTTAGAAGCGGCACCTTGGGTAGGCCCTTCCTTCTCCGAATTTTCTGTTTATTCTGTTGTTAATGTAACAGTCTTCGAAGGCTATTTAACAATCGGTCCATACGTCAGCATGCGTTCATCGAGATATGAAGCACGCGGGAAGTTTGGAGAGCACGAAAGATGGGTAAGAGTTGCTCAAGGGGTAGCCGAACGCAACTCTAGCTTCTTGAGTACTCTCCAAACTTCTCAATTGCTCATATCTCGACGAACGCTCAGCTGACGTATGAAGCAATTGTTTCATGACATTTTCAACCCGATGGAAAAATTTTTTTTCTGGAGGGATTTGTTTGCTGACGTCATGTCCATGCACAATAGGAATATGAAGCACGCTCGCGCAATTGAATTTGATTAGACAAATTTACTAGCTATGTAATAATTTCTCCTAAGATATCTTTTTAAGTACGATTCGAATTCTGTCAATAAGTTCGTTATAATTTTTATATTGTCAATCTTGTTTTTGTTTTGCCCGACCTTGACCGTAAGAGAAAGAAATTTAAGGTAGAAAATGATTTTGTAAACGTAAACATCTAGAAGGTACATACTAAGCATTCAGGAACTCAGACATGGTTTGATGCTATTCTGGTTTGCAGATTTAATGGATGTAACCGAAGAAGTTACAATTCATAGATCCAACGTTTCGACACTCGTATCTAGTGCCTTCATCAGGGGTGATCTAAACGCTGCAACAAGAGGTCCTTTTATATGATCACTAATTAGCGGCCTTTTTTCTGACGAGTTGTAAATAGGCGTCAGGAAGCAAACCGGAATATTTCTTAAATTTTAAATCAACACCATCAACACCTCTTCTTAAAGGTGACTCTGATTGTAAATAGCTTATGCTTTTTCATCTCCGCACTGAATTTGTAATTATTTAACTTATGCGAATAGCATGTAGTTTTCTAAGGGGCAGTACCTTGGGACGCCCCTTCTTCTCCCAATTTTCTGTTTACTCTGTTGTTATATAACAATCCTCTAAGGCTATTTTCTCGTTAAACTATCTCTTCAAGCGTAATTTCAATTCTGCCCATAGGTTAATTATAATTTTTATATTATCAATCTTGTCTTCGTTCTGGTCGATCTTAACCGTAAAATTAAGAAATTTAAGGTAGAAGATGATTTTGTGATTGCGTAAACAATTCGAAGGTGCATACTTAGTATGCAGGAACTGTCGTACGTACTCTAACGTGATTCGCTGGCTGAAACGGAGCGATCGCGATGTAAGAAGATTGACAGCTTAGAAGTGTCATCTTTGGTGTCACCTTTATAAGCTGGTGCACAGCATCTTTCAATCAGAGAATATAGCAAAGTAGAACAGTGTGGACTTCTGTCGAAAGGAATAAGTTGAACTGTGGTGAATAAGATCAATACTGGGCTAGTCCCCGAGAGTAAGAATTGTACTAGGAGTTTAACCAGAAAATAAAGGAAATTCAACCGAGTGTTAGAGAGAAATTCTTCTAACAATTGTCGGTGTGGGTAGGTTTACGGTAGACACTTGTCTCTTAATTACCCTGAACCCCTCTAGACACATATAAATCAAGAAAGGGCAAATGTCTACCTTTTTCACGCTCAAGGGTGAATTGGATCGAAGGCTCTACTGAATTCAAATGCGACAGGAGGTGTTCCGCTTCATTTCCGGATACCGCAGAAATAACATCATCGACATATCGCTTCCAGAAAAAGGGTTTAACCGGCTAAGGCCCTTTGTTTCACGTCTTCCATTATCATGTTAGCAATGATAGCAGAGACCGGCGAACCCATCGCTGTACCAAAAACTTGGATAGTAGGTGCCGTTATATGTAAATTGCGTGGTTTTGAGGCAAAAAGACAGCAGATGAATAATATCCTCCACAGGCAAAGAAGTTCTTATTCCTAGGGAGGCATCTTCTCCGAGTCTCTCCTCCGCAACCTTAACGGCAAGATCAACTGGGATTTTAGTGAAGAGCAAAACAACGTCGAAAGATACTAATTCTTCACAAGCGTTAAGACATTCAAGGTGTTACCGAACCCATCAAGAGAATTTTGAATAGCCACAACGTTAAAGTTGCTTAAAAACCTTTTCAGACTTTGGGGCATATTTTCGCCAAACCTAAGGACCCTGTCACGAAAGAACAACGAACCGACGCCATTTATTCTATTCCATGCAATGACTGTGACCACGAATACATCGGACAGACCAAACGTCAGTTTGGTACACGTTTAAAAGAGCATCAAAAAGCGGTTTTCCTTTGCAAAAAGGAAAATTCTGCTTTATCAGAGCACAAATGCCTAACCAAACATATAATTGGGTGGGATAATTCTAAAATTTTCACCACTAATCGGCGTTATCACCAGCGCCTTTGTTTGGAGGCTTGACATATTAACTCCGCCCACGCTCCTTTAAATCGAGACGATGGCGGTTTGCTTCCTAGCGCCTATTTACACCTCGTCAGAAAAAAG